CAGCAGCGCACGCATGTGCGCCCTAAACACAGAAACAGGCTTGCATCGATTACTTTGCTAAGCCTGCACCTGCTGGCCTGTCACAGTAAATCTACTGTGATGGGGCAGCAATTGGCAAATGTACATATTCATTAACCAATTGCCCTTCTGAGGATTTACCCCCCTTCCTGACAAAGCCATTATTTACGTTACGGCGCTGCCTTACTTTAACTGACAATTACGCAGTCATGCAACGCTGCACCCAAATGAAATTTTTGTCCTTTTTTTCCCCCCACGCATTGAGCTTTCTTTTGGTGGTATTTGATCACCTGTGCGTTTTTTAGTTTTTGCGTTATACACAAAAAACAACCAACAATTTTGAAAAAATAAAATATATTTTTGACTTTTTTGCTATAAAACAAACCAGTAAAAAAAATAAATAAATAAATTTCATCAGAAATTTAGGCCAAAATGTATTCTGCTACATGTCTGTTAAAAAAAACAATCTGAATACATGTAAATTAATTGGTTTACGTGAAAGTTATAGCATCTACAAATGGCGGTATATATACCCTGGAATTTTTTTTTATACTAGTAATGGTGGCGATCAGCGACTTATAGCGGGACTACGGCGGACATTCTGACACTGGGTGGGAACTAACTGCCACTGACATCCCAATGACTTTAACACAGTGATCAATGCTAATAAAAAGCACTGACACTGAGTAGAAAGGGGTTATCATTTGGGACGATCAAAGGGTTAACTGTGTGCTGTTTTACTGTATGTGTTTTAGTTGGGAAATTTCATACATTCCAGGCACGTGAACAGAAGGGGGGCATTTACAAAGAGTGGCACACACATAAAGCTGTGCTGCTCTTCTAAAATAGGAAAACAGGGCAGATCCTGTTCCTAATTATCAAAGGAGTTGCAAACCCCACTGCTTCCCCTCTGCCCTATAGCAAAAATACTGCTACAGGGTTGTGCAAAATCATGTGCGTGCATATATATATATATATATATATATATATATATATATATTTGCATTTCCAGGTAGGGGGTGCGTGTGTGCCACCCTACCCATGCAGCCATTGGCACATACGGATGTCAATCACCAGGTCCTGGCCAGAGATTCCCCACTGGCACCCGTCAATCGCTGAGTAACGCTGACAGGGGAGAGACCTGTGTATAAACAGGTCTCTCTCCTGCCAGCAATAACATGCTGCTGTGTTCCCTAGTAAAACATACACAGCACGCACAGTAAAACAGCACAGTTAACCCTTTGATCGCCCCAGATGTTACCCCCTTCCTGCACAGTGTCATTAGTACAGTGTCAGTGCTTTTTATTAGCACTGATCACTGTATTAATGTCATTGGGATGTCAGTGGCAGTCAGTCTCTCTCCCCCCCCCCCCCCCCCAGTGTCAGAATGTCGCCACAGTCCCGCTATAAGTCGCCGATTACCGCCATTACTAGTATATAAAAAAATAAAATTCCAGTATGCCTACCGCCAATTGTAGACACTATGACTTACACGTAAGCCAATTGATTTACATGTATTGGGTTTTTTTTTTTTTTTTTTTTAGCAAAGACATGTAGCAGAGTACATTTTGGCCTAAATTTATGACATTTTATTTTTAAATTTTTTTGTTGGATATGTTTTATAACAAAAAGTCAGTTTTTTTTTTTTTAAATTGTCGTTTTTTTTTTTGTTTATAGCGCAAAAAATAAAAATGGCACAGGTGATAAAATACCACCAGAAGAAAGCTCTATTTGTGGGAAAAAAAGTACATAATTTTCATCTATGTACGACGATGCATGACCGTGCAATTGTCAGTTGAAGTAACGCAGCACCATATAGCAAAAAAAAATGGCCTGGTCAGGAAGGGGGGTATATCCTCTGTAGGGCAAGTGATTAAACTATCTGGAATACATATATTGCTATTATGGTCAAGGATCTGGGCAGGTTATTGCATCCCATTTATGGATGACAGTTTGAACTCAGACCAGAACGGATTTGGATTCTTGTATGAATTTTTCTCTTCATCTTTGACGTGCTTGGTTTTAAAGAAAAAAAGTGTAGGACTATGTTGGAGATTTATTACACCTTTTGGACTACTATCTTCATATCCCTCGGATGTCCCCTTCTGGATTTGAGAATTTCCACTCTAGCAAACTTTATGGAAACTTATGATTTTATACTACTGTGTTTTCCTATACATATACTTTTCACATGTGCTGTGAAGATGTGTGAAGCATTTGAAAAGTGGATGTTGAAGTGAAATATGATTTGTGCACTTAACTTTGCAAACATTGGATATGGTGCTATGTACAATTCATATTTGTGTAAAACTTTATTATTCATTTATATATCCTACACCAAACTTATTTCTCCTACTCGATTATATGCTATGCATCGAATTTCAACTGGTTAAGATGCAATCATTTACAGGATGATTTCGAACATTTAAATTTGGTAATGCCCAATTATCGCTCGATACCGGAAAAAAGTAAAACTTAGTCTCTTTGTTAACTCATGTTCCTTTTCCCCCCCCCAGAGGTTTGTCTACTTGGCCTATTAGGTAAAGAACTATAGCCCAGACATACCAGAAATATTTTTTTAAGAGAAACCTTATTTTTAGCTTAAGAACAAATAGCTATCAAATGGATGCAAACTTCTCCACCCGCTATATCTCAATGGTTACAATCTCCCCACTAATTCCACAAAATTTGGACATTCAGGACAGCAAAAAAGTTTCCTTTTCAGTTTTATTTTGGTTGTACTTCATATACAAAATATGCTGCTACTTTGACACTGTACAATGTAAAACAACCTTTTTACATTGTTCTAATTTATATTGTACAGTAATCCTGTCATTGTATCTAATATGCAATTAAAAAAGTTAAAAAATTTACTTTGTGGTACCATTTTCTATTTGCCCAGAAAAAATCCATTGCTTCAGGAATTTTCTATGTTACCTATATTTGAGGATGTGGGCATATAGGACAGAGAACCTTTATATTTATACTCCGTACTGGTGGCCAATATTTTTCAGTGAGTGATTCTAATGCTTTATGTTTATTATTAAGCGTGTTATTTTTTATTAAGGATTATTAGGATAAATTTTCAGTGAACAATTAATTTCTATAGGACTATAATTGTAAACAAAAGTGTTCTACACCTACAAATAAAAGAAAAAAAAACAAAAAAACCCCTATGCTTTCTGTTAATTATGTTGTTACAAAAACTTGTCTCGTGTTAAAATATTCTGTACAAACCAATCTGATAACATGTGGTTTACAAATATCTAGTATTTTAATATTTCAAAAGAGAAAAAAAAAAAATTAATCACCACTCCAGTTCATTTTAACGATAATATTTTGAAACATATGTGCAAATGTGTTAAATATATACCTACAACAGCTTCAATCTGTGCATATACACTGTGTTTATAAGTTCAAATGAGGACGGTAATTAGGATTGTTAGGACTAGACTTTAAAGCGACCCTGCCACCTTGGTATTCTATAGTGGTTTAGGGGTCGGTGTAGGAAACCTGAGCCTAGCAGAGAACACATTGTCCAAAACACCTGCAGGAGTCAGAAAGCAGTAGCATCTAGATTTCCTATTGAGAGGAAAGAATTTACTCGCTCACTCCAGCTTCTATCCCCCTAATTAGGCAAGTATGCAATGTCAACTTTGACAGGGTGTTTTTGCTTTTATGTTTTTTTCCCCAGTGGTGATAGAGTTACTACAAGTACTGTTTAGACACAACTAAAGCAAGCATACTAGGATAATATAAACCAAAGCTGAAGTTTAATATTTTTTTTTTAAAAGAGCACCAGGGATGGTACTTACCATAAATGAAGTGTCCAGTGTGCTGGTAGCTGTTGTGTTTAGTTGAAATCCTCTGACCTCTGCCCCTGGTTACTCCCCACAGCAGTGATCTTCTGGTGCTGCAGGAGTTAATATCAGCAGATGCACCTTTGACAGGTACTTTTTTCTCTGATATCTATTTATAGATACCATACTATCAGTTCCAAAATGAAAAAAGGCTGCCTCCTACACTAACAAAATGTGTTTCATTGGGAACAGGTAGTATGGCTTTTTGAAAAATACAAAGGCATAAAAAGTGGGCATAGCTGGCACTAGACCAGTGCCTGCCACAGGTGTAGCCACTCATATTAAACCCACAGCACCAGAAGTTCACCGTTGCCAGAGTATCTGGGGCAGAGGACTGAGCATTTCAACTGAACAGAGCAGGGACCATATTTCATTCATGGTAAGTACTGTCCGTTGTGCGGTTTAAAAAGAAAAAAAAAAAAAAAAAAAAGCACTAAACTTCAGCTTTAAAGATAGCAGCACAGATTTGTAATACATGTGTGCTGACAGGTAGAATTACAATTATCTTGTATCTTTCTGGAGTCAGGTTAAAATACCTCTACAACCCTTGTTCTTTGCTGCAAGCAGGGTTTTCATTTAATTTACTGGGTATATAGCAGTTGGGAAAAATCATGGGGGGGGGGGGGGGGGGGGGGCGGACGACCACTCAGCCCCTCAGCCCACTGACCCAATTTATTAAGTTGTACTAAAAAAAACTCACATAAGAAAAAGTCATACTACTGCAACTGATGAGACATCTGTTAGACATACTATACACAAATAAAATAAATATGGATAAAATTAAATTCCTGAACTTGATAAAAAGTGCTTTCAGGACCTGTATAAAGAGGGAAACCGCAACCCCTGATTGCTTGGCATGTATTCTGACATTATATACTATACTTGTGTAGTAGAGTTTAGAAAAATTACAACATGCTGCCAGTTACTGGAATGAATACATTCTGGAGATACTGGGGATAAGGAACCTCATAAAATTGTTTAAAAATGTTTTTGTTCATCGGTATATCAGCAGCTTATAAAAAAAAGTTGCGATCACGCAACACTTAGGTATCACTAGCTCAACCCTAAAGCTTGCAGTACAAAAATAATTCTTGTGCAGATGCTGCTTAGAGGAGTTCAGTCTTACAGGCTGAGGTTCACATTGCCTGTACTGGGTTTGCCACTGCTAAGGCTGTGTATCATAGCAATCATGTGTGAATGCTTGTTTAGCTCTTCCTGTTGGCTTTTCAAAATTCCCTCCTTTTCCTCCAAACGTGCTTCCAATTGGGTTTTTTGAACTTCCAGCGAAGATGCCTGTAGTGTAGAAAAAACATAAACCTGTTTAAATTATTGTTGAATTGAATTATAGCCCTCAAGCAGGGATATTTCTAGAAAATTAAGACTTGACACACGCTTAAGCACCCTATAAAACGGTGAACAGTTGTGGTGCATGAACACGGCACAAAGAGCCCCACAGTGTGCCATCAGTCCTAGGGGAATGGCCTCACAGAGCACCATCAGTTCAAGGGGGAAAATAAACCAGTATTCCAAAAAGAGGGGGAAATATGCAAAACTGTATAAAACCAAGGACATAGTACTAAGAACTTCAATTCCCACAGGAAAATGCCAGAGAATATGTCACAGCCATGGAGAGAAAAAAACTCCAGGGAAAAGTTTACTTCACATGCCAAATTTTCTTTCTATTTTGCAAACTGAATTCAATCTCCCTTTCAGGCACTTTTATAGATACTTACACAGCTCAGACATGTTGCAGTCACGGCTTGCTATTGACCAATTACAGATCACTCAATTTCACCTTGTCAGGTGTATGTTCAGCTATGTGCACCAAGGGCATAATCACTCACATCTAACATCTATACTTATCTGCTGTGAGATCATCTCTTATGACTGAATATTACATAGCTGTGAAAAGCAGATATTGACTGACGTTACCGATGACCACTGGGTCTTCTATACTAGAAAAGATCACTAAATCCTTTTAAAATCATCCACAGAGATTCATTCAATTTTTTCTGGTGTATTGGACTTAAACAGCAAAAAAAATATATATATATTTAAAACTAGGTCTAAGGAAAGACTGAGTGTCCTAAATGTCTTCTTCATACAGATGATTTTATACACATGATTTGCCCATGTCTCAGACTTCAGCGCTATTGGAAAGATGATATGCAAGAGTTCCCTGTTGTTCCTCACCCAATCAAAATTTCACCCTCCATCCTGTATCTTTGGGCCAGGTTATGAACTTTAAAAGCCCACAGGTACACTTTCATTTAAAGGGAATACAATAAAACTATGTGCATAGATAACACAGCAAAATACACTTGCTTTTGTGTTCTTTGTAAGTACAACCGAGTGGCACATTACAAAAGTAGATTATTTTTTTTAACAATAGCTGCACTACACAATCTATTTCTTAAACTGTTCCCCCAACACCAATATTTTAAACACAAAATATCAAGATATTGCCTTATACACATTGGCCAATCATCATCAGTCTGCACAAATATATCTTACATATTAACCCCTTCTCACCTGCAATCTGTATATAAATGATACAAAGTGCTGGGGATATACCTAAAAAATGCCCCATTCCATTTAAGACACCTGCCAACACTTTGCCCAGCTGGTGTCTCTCAATCCTGGCTTTCAGTGACCACTCCCCATCCCCACTGATATTCAGAAATCCATCACAGTGGCTACAGACCATGTGATCACATGCAGCCTAGTAGGGTTATTGAAAAAATAAATGCTTTCAGGCTGAAGAGAAACCCTACCATCATCAGGCTACAGTGGCATCTCCAATACAATCTGTTTGTCAGACACAATTACAGAATTAAAAAAAAAAAATAATACATCCTTGAATATATACCTAAATTATTTAAATATGCAAATAAGTACTAATGTAAGTCTCAAGCTAATTAAAGTATACTGGATTCTGATAAATTTGGCTTGGCCGGCCATGACTTCTGGTTATGAAAGTGATAAAGAGAAATGCCATCTTATACTGCTACTTTCAGGACAAAACCAGAAACAGTTCCAGAACTACCACACTGTAATAGGTGTCTTTTTAAATGAAGGTATAAAGGACGGATAGGTTGAATTACACACCGCCTCTTTCACAGTGGGGCACATCTTAAAAGACCAGCTTGCCTGCAGCATATACATAGTTTTCCTTTATTACCCTGCCACTCTGTGCAGTCTCCATATACATAGAAAAATACTCTAATTCTGGGTACAAGTGAGCATGTGATGGTGCTGATGCTTTGTTATTGGGCCAACCTCTGTTACAGAGGGATAAGAGACCATCTGAATGACTACATAGAACTTATGCAGGGCTTTCTTTTTTGCTCCCAATGTCTGAATGGAGCAGAAAGAAGCAAAGGAAGAGTAAATCCTGCTGGGAACAAGGGCGTTAAACCTGCTGCTTTGTCCTTCATGGTAAAGGCACAGGTTCAAGGTGCATGGGTAAAAATAAAACAAAAAATTTTCGTTCAGCATTTACAAATGCACCTTGGGGGCATGGCTTGCAGATGGCCCAATAGGACATGTGGCCTACAGCTCCTTCCCTACCCCCAACACTTAGATTCAAACAGGCCCTTTAAGCCTGTAATCTCTGTGAGGTGTGGCATCTTTTGAATCCATAAGGTAGAGATTACAGCTCCAATTCTGCCCCACATAACACTTTTTGTAGGCTGGACTACCTTTTCATCTCACTTGACCTCTTCGACAAATCATCCTCAGTACTGAGAGACTTAATACTAATAGTCTGACCACGCTCCAATTTATGTCTATTCCCAACAAAAAAACATAAGCCATTGCTCATGGCGCCTCAACATCATCTTGAATGACCCTCAATGACTTCAAGACCTTTTGCAAACCATTACACAATTTACAACAACTCACTCACAAGATGAAACAACTTTTGCTATTCAATGGCATTCTTTAAAATGCGTCTTGAGAGGGGGACTAATTCCCACAGAGAACAAAAAGAAACAAACAAGTAAATCATCTCTCTGTTCTATGAAGTATCCAAACTTGAATTCGAACATACAACAAATACTCGCATTTTCAATTTGACACTCCTGCAGCTCTCCAAAGCTCGAGCCAAACTACACCCGCTCATTGATCAGTGATTGTTAGCTGCATGAGACTGATTGGGAAGCATCTTTTACATACGAGGACAAATTTGGTAGTCTTAGCACAAACTACAAATCCAAGACCACTTTTATTCCCTCTATACATGTCCAGTCTAACTTGCTAACTCATAAACTAAGTGAAATCTCTCATCCCTTCTGTTCGTTCTACTCTGCATTATAAAATATATAGGGATCATACCCTGATCTTTCCTCTGCAAAATTCATTAATCTTTTTTTGACCTATTAATTTGAGACACAGCACTCCCCACATTACCTCCTGAGACAAGCACAGATTTTGACTACTACTGCATCTTTTCCCTACCCCGGAAAGGTGCCCGGGCCTTGATAATTACACAGCTAGTTTCTATAAAGATCCCAAAGAATCTCTAGCACCAACCCTCCTCAAAGCTTGTAATGTGGTCTCCCAACCTAGTCCCTTCTCTCCTCAAACATTGGGAATTTAATTCCCAAACCAGGAAAAGATATGACAAATTGTGGTAGCTATAGACCTATTTCCCTCGTAGATGAAAATTGTTTTTGCCAAAATGATTGCAACTTGTGTCTTCCACCCTATCTTCCCCAAGTCTGGGAAAGATTTGTTATACCCAATGAAGTTTCACACCAACCTGGCCCCCTAACCTCCCTGTTTGACAACCCAGCTTTTGATTCAGAATTTAGAACCCAAACAATAGCTGTTTTTTCAGAGAGTCCTGGCCCCAACTTTGACATATCCAGTTTGACCAGTCCTCGTCTAGTACAGAAATAGCTCCAACGACAACAATAACCTGCTCCCATAATTGTCTCACTCTAACCAACTCTCTGGCTTCTTACATACGGTTAAAAAAAGAACTACCTGCCTTTCTTCAACTGACATCCCTAGAGGCCTTTCTCTCAAATACTTCCACTGATACACATACAGGGTCTCAGAGTTACAGCAAGATGAGAGAGCGGATCTCCAGAGACAAACCCATTTCTAAATGGCATCATTAGCTGAAGGAGTCATTCAGATGCTGAATAAAATGCTTTCTTTTCATACCTAAATTGTCTATGTCTTTCTAGTCCCAGGAAAAGAGCTACAAGCTAATTTCCCTGTGATGTAGGACACCTATAGAGCTGAACTGTATTTTTCCCCTCTACTCCAAGCTCCTGCTGGAGTTGTGTAGGAAGGGAAAGTTCCTACTTACATACAGTAACTGGTGGACTGTCACTTAATAATGCCTTTTTGGTGAGCTGTCTTTCCTACGTATAACACCTTGTTCATTTCTGATATCATGACTTCCCAAAGATGGCTCTCCTATCAGTGATTCCTGTGCCCATTTCTAGAATTTAAAAAGGCTTTTTGAAACATTGTCTTCTGGCTGCATGTGTAGCCATTTTCCCGCATTGGAAATCAACGTGTCCACCACACATTCTAGAATGGGCCCAGATACTTAATAGAAATATGACAATGGAGACCCTGGTAGCCGAAAATACAAATGGCCCAAAAATGCGTACTCTACTGATATGCTGGCGAGCCCAGAGATGCTGATTGTTTCTGTGCCCTATCCTTACAATAACATGTCCACCTATTTCCATACTTCACAATAATTGAACTTATCTCAGGACCTTATCCATACACAGCACAGGTGTATTTCTAAAGCCAATATAAAAATGGTGGAAGAAATTCTTTCCATTATGTCTGCATTCTCTTCCTTTCTCTGTACCCCCTTCCACTTCCCCCTACCTTGGTGTCTACTTTTTTACCCTTTCCCCAGTGTTTCCCTTACTTAACTATATAGATGTTACTAGTTCCTGCTTTTTACTCTGCTGTACCCAGTCTCTGTATAATGCAAACATATGAATAAAGATTTATTTGAATAATGCACCTATAGAACACAAGTTTCTCTAATAATCTTAAAAAAAAAATACAAACCCTAATGCTCAGCTCCTTTCTTGCTTGTTCTGTTTTGCTCAGCTCTTTACGAAGTATGTCAATTGTTTCTTCCATATCTTCTTTCTCCTTTTGCTTTAATTTAAGCTTGTCCTCTAAACCCTTTACCTTTTGTTGGAAATCTGTCAGCAAAATTAAATATGGGGAAAAAACATAAGCTAACAAGCAGGAAGTAGATGACAATTCAAAGTTTAGTATGTATTAACATAAAAATACAGGATGAAAAAGGTTACCTGTTCTAAAACAAACTAAAACACATATTCAAAAAGAACACCACCTACTTATAATTTTACTCTCTCGGTCTTGAAGTTGCTTAGCCAAATCTTTTCTCTGGTTTTCAGTGTCTTCTAGCTGGGCCATTGTCCTGTATGTGATCAGCATTGTTAGTACTTTCAGAAAGGCCTCAAATAGCATTACAATTTTTAAAGCAGAACACTGAAGATCTTTTTTCTTTATGAAGTAGGAAACCCCATCCTCCAAATAATAGCCAAGACAGAAAAATGCAGGATATTTTAAAATCTCATGGGAAAAGCAGCCAATAAGCTGTCTGAGACATTACAAAAAACTGATCCATCCAAACCATACTGAATGACAGCAGTGCTTACATACAGCAAAAGAAGCACCCAGTGCAATGTTGTGTTTTTCTGACTCGAACAAATTGCACAGCTATGACATGCTAAGTATAATAACACTCAGGTGCCAAGTTTAGCTTTTCAACATGTGTAGATATTCCTTTAAATAGAAAAGGTGACACTAAACGTGGGTTAACAAAAAAAAAAAAAAATTAAAGTATTCTTAACTCCAAGATCTTCAAATTCCTTTTTTGCTGCTGTGATCCAACTTCCTGTTAAGAAGGTGGCTACGTTCGTTCTCCATGGTCCCACTCTCTTGCTTCCAAGATGATCGAGGAACTATGGGATCTGTTTTGATCATACAGCAGTGCATATGATCACAACTAGCGTGCCCCGCTCATTCCAAACAAATAGAAGTGAGTGGGAAGAGAAGAAATTCAGGTGCTCAAAGAGGACATTACAAGATGGCAAAAAAATTGATTACAGGGCCAATAAAGTTGAAGTGGGACTAAACCTTCCTGTTCTTTACAGACAAGGAAGCGGCCATCTTAGCCTCATTATTTGCAGTTACCATGGTGCTGCACGTGTATCAGGTACAACACAAGCAATTTGATAACCTGGCAGTTCAGTTGAAAGCATAAGCAACTGTAACAGTTACCATTCAGGACATGCCTTAAATGTAAGTTTTTGAAAACGGTTAAATCGATGGGCTTAGTGTAAGTAGCAAATGTGTATGGATAACTTTTGGAAAATAAAGATATTGTTTAGTGTCACCGTTGTTACCAGCAAGAATGAATATCTGCTGCAAAAACGAGGCACAACATTCTGCATTCCTCTGTGTTAGCTTTCCCATGGGCAGTACAGAGCAGATGTATATAAAACTATCATCCAATTGCCTTTAGAATGACATATCTCTGGATAGCTGCAGAGCTGTAGGGTCTGTTGACCTGAAAGTTAAGTGGAACGGACAAGGGAGAGGATGAACAGGCAAACAAAGCCCTTATCTCAGGCAAAACAGGACAGGATTTCCATTGAAGGTCTCTGGGCAGCGCCATTAGGAAGGACCCATACAGATGAGATTGTCATCAATAGCAAAAGTAATCTTTCAGTTATAAGTAGCTTTACTCTATGAAGTCCTTGAAAATGTACGTAAAAAAAAATCCTTACTTTTCATTTTGAATCTTGAGAGAATCACTTAGTTTTTTCATGGTTTCAGCTTGCTTAGTTAGGGTGTTGTAGGATACCTCTAAGTCTTTCAACTGCTTTTCACAGAGTTCATACCTATAAAGAAAACAAGCAATTACAATCCACATAGTAACTCTTCCTGAATTTAGAGACTCACAAAGCAGATATTAAATGGAAAAACACAATAAGAAAACACCAGACATTTTCCTTATCTATCTGAGGCTAGCAGCATGGTGAAGCAGCGGCTAGAACCGCTAACAGAATACTACCTGGATTTTGTATACTCCTTCCATGGGACAAGACCACAATGCCAAGTTTACCATCTTCTTCCTAAAACATCTCTACATGTGGAAGACACAACTATAAGTAAAAATGTAATCAAAGACGAGGTGGCATGTGTAATGTCTGACCCTATTTAGACCACAATTTAGAGCAGACTTTTTAAACCTTTTTAACATGGAGGAACCCTAGAAATAACTTTATGGTCTCGGGGAACCCCTGCTAAAAATTACTATATATATATATATATATATAATAAAATATGTTATGATACATTAGGGTGATGGCCAGCGGGAAGAACATTCCTTACACTTGTGGTCAATGGGAAAAAATGACCCCTTTTCAGATAGCTAAAAAGATAATTGCTGTCAGCAGAAACTTATCCGAGAGGCAAACATTGGTCATTGCTCAAGGAACCCATAACAACCTTTGAAGGAACCTTAGGGATCCACAGAACTCTGGTTGAGAAACCCTGGTCTAGAGTTTTGCATTTCTAAATTAATCTATATTCCTATTCCTTCTCTAGAAGAAATGGGCCACTACATTACATCTGTTTTGTTTTTCATTTTGAATCCGTGAAGGTTCATTAATTGGTGGAGAATTTGCCCTGTCTCCTCAACATAGAGTCCTGTAGAGCATTTTGCACACAAAATCAGACAGACCACATTTGATTCTCCTCAGCTTACGCCATCAGTTTTCTCACGTATCACCGATTTACTAACAGACATATCAGATTGGATGTCACACCACTTCCTAAAACTCAATCTATCCAAAACTGAGCTCATAATATTTCCTCCCCCAAGTGCCTCTTCCCGTGATTTCTCTGTCATGATCAATAGCACCACTATCAATCCATCCCTGCATGCCAGGGTGCCAGGGGTAACCCTGGATTCTGAACTATCCTTTCAGGCCCACATCCAATCCCTATCCAAATCATGCCGCCTAACCTCCGCAACATCTCCAGAATATTACCCTTTTTAACCAATGATAACAAAAAGCTCCTAATTCACTCCCTGGTCATCTCTCGCCTTGACTACTGCAACTCCCTCCTCATTGGCTTACCTTTACATAGGCTATCCCCCCTCCAGTCCATCATGAATACTGCTGCCAGGCTAATCCACCTTACCAACCGTTCAGTGTCTGCTACCCCTCTCTGCCAATCCCTCTACTGGCTTCCAGTCGCCCAATGAACAAAATTCAAAATACTAACAATTTACAAAGCCATCCACAACTCTGCCCCCAGCTACATCACCAACCTGGTCTCAAAATACCAACCAAACCGCTCTCTTCGATCCTCCCAAGACCTTCTGCTCTCTAGTTCCTGTGTTACCTCCTTCCATGCTCGCCTCCAGGACTTCTCCCGAGCTTCTCCCATCCTATGGAACTCCCTAACCCAATCTGTCCGGCTGTCTCCTAATGTATCCACCTTTAGACAATCCCTGAAAACCTCTTTAAAGAAGCCTATCCTGCTTCTACCTAGTAAACCACCATTTATATCCTCCATCAGCTCATCCCCCACAGCTATTACCTTTTGTATCTCTCAACCCCTCCGTCTAGATTGTAAGCTCTAACGAGCAGGACCCTCAGTTTACAATTGTACCAAATTGTATTGAAACTGTAATGTCTGCCTTCATTTTGTAAAGCGCTACACAAACTGTTGACGCTATATAAATCCTGCATAATAACAATTTGCAGCAAAAAGTACCCTGTAATCTGTACTGTTGTGATCCTGGTACTGCATAAGTATACAGGCTCTACATCTATTCTGCATCTAGTGAGATGTTCCATTTAGTATTGGGGTGTTTAGGGAACTTCTTACAATACTCTTAGGTAACAGGAGGGGGAGAACAAAAAAAACCCCCAAAAAAAACCAACAACCCAAAACTTTAAGAGATGCAAAAACAGTGGAAATATTTTTCTTTTTTTTTTTTAAATTTCACTGATTTTAAATTTAAAAAATGCTTACTTCATGATATGGTCACCATAAGAAACCTTCAGTGTTTCATGTTCTTCGGCCACTGCTTGCAGCTTTTTGTTGTGCTGGAACAACTGCTCAATGTCACTTTTGGCTCGTTCTGACTCCAGCTGCTGAGACTTTAAAAGCAAACTCAGTTCCTCATTCTTCCTCTCTGCCTCCTTCAAAAGTGTGGCAAGCTTTCTTGCCTGCCATATAGAAATAAAAACTGGTTACTTTTTTTTTTTTTTTTTTTAAATGTTAAAAAAGAGAAGTATGGGGTTCCTAAATAAAATAAATAATAATATTAACAAAATAAAACACTTACCTAAGTAAGATCATGATGCTGCATCCTTTTTCGTGTTGCCTTGAAGACTGAGAACTGAGCAATCAAAGACCACAGATCGCTCAGTTCTCAATCTTCAGTGAGCAGAGAGCTGATGACTTGTCAGTCACTGGCTCTCCGCTCTGCCCATCCAGTGCCAGGCTGTGGAGGAGGCAGAAGGGCTGGCTCAGGCTCTCAGCGCCTCGTGTGGATCCCAATTGCAAGGGGACAGTCGACAGTGGCCTTTAGTCCACTCTTGGCTCAAAACGAGTAAATCAGTGAATAATGATGTTGAAAATTCAGAATTTAAAAGGAGTAGATTGAGAAAAAGATCTACGCTCAACTCCAAGAACCCTTCTAATCAGTTTTTAGATGTTTTTAAGTCTATGATTGAACCAGATATAAAAACTTTTAAAATTATTATTGTTATAAGGCCTGAAGACGGGGGGGGGGGGGGGGGGAGATTGTGACTTTAAATAAAGAGGATTATGAAAGTGAATTAAATTGGTGAGAGATAGTACCAAACTATAAAAGCTTTCTGGAGATCCTATCAAAAAGTTCAAGGCTAAGTTATCCAGATTGATAAATAGTAAGAAAGAAGCTAGGTACCCTCATCCCAGAAGCACCAAAATTACCAGTCATATATCAATTACCAAAGGTACATAAAAAATAAAAAAATACCCTCAGGGAGACCCATAGTTAGTGGTATCAATTTCATTTTCTCTCGTATACAGGAATATATTGATTTTTTTTTTTTCTCTAAGCCTTGACACGGATTTATTCCTCATTTGTAAGAGACAGTAAACAATTCAGTATGTAGGAAGCACTACAAGGAAATTAGGAGTCAGAATAAGTTAACATAAAAAATAAAAAAAGGTTTTCCCCAACATTGGTGTATCGAAACATTTTACGATACGTCATGATAGAGATTCTGGTGTTTTGACATTCTGTGGCATTGATAAAGTTGAATGATATTGGAGAGGTACTAATTTAAAACAAGCAATTTTTATGAACTAAACAAAATGGATTTTTGAATACTTTATGTCCTGCAGGCCTTAAAGTAGATCTTGATTTGAATTATTTTATTTCTAATTTTTAATATGTTTTATAATGACTGGAGTTGCACCCAAAAAATGCAATTAAGTAATCACATTGCTTATCCATTGGAGTTGCAATTCAACCATAAGGGGGTTCTACATCGAATAGTTTATCTATTGGAATTGCAATCTGCAATCGAATCATAACTGGGCTCTATTCGTTTATTCGCGTTAACTTGGCACTTTATATGCAACAACTTAAGCGGCCACTAGATTTTAACAATGAGTTTATTTTTTGGGGTGGACGTTTTGGTATCTTACCGCTAGATGTCCTCAGTAAATAGAAGGGGGAACGATATTTGGAAATTTCTTAAATTTTAAATTATATATATCTCTAAAAAAATTGGTTGATAATTGCAAAGTTCAGTATATAGATCCAATTTTGTGCAAATATCTTCAGCTGGGATGTAGGATGGCTTTGATTCTGATTGGATTGAGCGGAAGCAAAGTGGCGGTGACAGCCAGCATTATAATAAAAAAAAAAAAAAAAAAAAAAAGAAGGAGTATCCAGTCATATGACTCATGTCGTCAGACGGTGCTGACGAAACTTGGAGAAGCTTACATGATACGTCACTTCCGGTTGGTGGAACGCAGGTGGAGCGCAAACCGGCATTCCTTTTTTCAGTATTCATGCTTGATTTATTTAGGTGCAATTTTAAAATGTTTTTTAAATAAATAAACCTTACTAAACTATGAGAGGTTCTTTTCCCCTCTATGAGGGAGGTTTCATAACAGTCTCTTGATGCACAAGATCGTTGTGGTATATGCTATACTCAATCCTTCAGGTACATGCCGCATTAATGGGAGAGCAAGATTTACCAGAGATATCTTAAAAGCAATTGACCTTCTTTGAGAAATGAGGTCATATTACTGGTGAGTGTGATGTGTTTCATGTTCTGTGTCCATTGTCCATTCACAGGAGTTGAAGGAGTGAGCCTGAGGCAAGAGGCTTGCTACTGGTGGCACTCGGCTGGGGACATAAAAAGAGAAGAATCGTGCTGCTCTGTGCAAAGCTAATGATTTATTGTTTCTTCCACTAGTAATGGCAACGATCAGCGACTTTTAGTGGCACTGCGTGGCGGACATTCAGACATTGTGGGGGGGAACTAACTTGGTGTCACTGACAACCCCAGTGACACCAATACAGTGATCACTGCTAAAAAAAAAATCATTGACACTGTACTAATGACACTGGGGCAGGAAGGGGTTAACATGAGAGGTGATAAAAGAGTTGACTATACCTAGGGAGTGCTTTATTAGGGTGCGAGGGGGGGGGGGCAGTGTGCCCGAGCTCACAGGGAGGAAAACTGTAAACAAAACAGTCTTCCTCGCCGTTGGAGATGCTCGGTAATCACTTGGCGCCAGCAGGTAATTACTGGCCGAGATCCGGTGATTGACAGCTGCGGCATTTTCTACCCGGAAATGAAAAATTACGTATACATAAACGTGATTTGGAGCACCCTTGCTGCCCTCTAACTGTATTTCTGCTATAGGGCAGTTGGGAAGCGGTTAAGGAGAGAACTGTGCTGTAGTGCTGTAGGGGGGACTACAGTGTGAAAGGTATGCTAAGGATCATAATGTACCGGGGGACTGTGATGTGTTATATCGCTAACGAGATTCGGATCTCTGCTTTAAGGAAATTTTGCAGACTGGACCTCCGTAAATTTTAATTCAAGACCCCTCCTCTATGAAGTAACATCTGCTTGATAGAATAAGTTCAACTATTCATAGGATAGGTCTTGTAGAATGTCATCATGCCAGAGCACTGCTGCAAGTGATATCTATATAAATATAAAATGAGGAATATTCTGACACAACTAGCTCAAAAGGAGTACGGAGATATATAGATTTTTATATATATATATATATATATATATATATATATATATATAAATAAAATATAGTAATGCTTCAGTATACTAATTCCTGGGAAAAGATGAAGGGCAAATTCAAACTGGGAACTCTTATCAAGTTGGGTAAAAAAAAACTCAGCTGTCAAGTCCATCTGAGCTGACACACCGCTCTGTACAGTTTTCCTCTCACCTCTGCTTCAGCTTGTGCTCTTTGACACCGGTACTGTGCAATCAGTCTGTCTGCTTGTGCAAGGGCTAGTGCTTTTGCTTCCAATAAGTCTTGCAGCCTGCTTTCCTTTGACTGCACAGAGAACACAACATAATATTACAACTGCTGTATATTTGTCTAAAAAACAAGACTTTAAAATGCAATACTTACTGCTAATGCAGAAAGCTTTTGTTCATAAACATCCATTATATCAGAAATCCTCACATCATTCACTTGTTCCTTCATCTAGTAAAAATGAAAAAAAGTTGGAAACCAGCATCAGTAATAATAGAGATGAACGTGTAGAATCAAGATTGAAGCAAATTCAGTTCAAGCCTAGTAACAACAATTCTGGATTTTGGCAGTTAGGGTGCTTTGGGTCAGCCAGAAACTGACCTGCACAAAATCCACACATCACACAGTATTTACTGAACGACATGCATTCTGTAAAAAAAAAAAAAAAAAAAAACCAAAAAAAAAAAAAACAAAAAAAAAAAAAAAACACAGCAGTAGCTGATTGCCTTCAGACTCCCTCTGTCAGTCCTTTCACTTTTGCTTAAACAGTCATATTTTGTTAAGTAAAAACTGATGAATACAGATTCAGGTTACATCAGTTTACACATCTGTCTTCAGGTCAGTTTACACTAACCAAATCATAGGTAACAAAAGTAAACCAAAACATTTTTCTCGCCTAAAAAAAAAAGGGACATAAATGGAAAAGGGTGCAGCCTTGCTCTGTTTAGGAAAAAAAAAAAAAAAAAAAATCTGAACAGACACGGATGTAGGCGGATGTAAATGGTTGGTCATTTGTTTACATCTCCCCTGCCCCATAGACATACACTGTGGCTCAGTCTGGATCCATCCAAAAAACTGACAGAAGGATCAAAAATGACCGCTTGTGTGAAAGGGCCCCGATAAACTCAAGAATACTATCTTAACTGGCAGACAGGCAAAGAGAAGAATGCATCATTGCCACTACTAATTCATCTGTGTGTAAATCCAACATGAAAAGGTTCATGCATATTAAATGGCATTTTGTGTATAAGGCATACATATCTATACTTTACCTCCATTCCTGTTTGTAGCCTCTGTATGAGATCCTGGATATTGGAGGAAGATATGTCAACACTGTTCAAATTTGACATCTGTGAGGATCTACAGTTGTTTGCAATGGCTTGCACTCCAAATTTTTTTGTTGGATGATCGATTTCTTGCAGTATGTAGGCATTGTTAGCTGCAATGCTTTCCCCAAGTCTAAAATTGGCAGACCATATTATCAATCTTGATACTGTAATTCCCTCAACAGATTCTGCAACTTTAAGCAGTTCTATCACAAGCTACAATACACTACATTTATAATTTTTCTTTGGGATTCTAAAAAACAGAGAATTCAAATGTATACTAAAAGCATAACAGCGCACATGGGGCTAGTTTTTCAAATTTCTGATGTCAGAGCTGTCATCACTTTTTTGTGAGTGATTAAGTCCTTTGGTGTGTGTGTGTATGAGTGCGTGGAACTATTGACAGAAACAGATGCAGGAGGTCAAACATTGCAAAAATTGATCCTTTCATTTGTCTTGGGGTTTTGGAGCCATTTACCATGCACTGTGGGTGCATTCATCTTTTGACACCGAAGTAAACAGGCTGAAACTAATATCTAGCACACCCTAGTAATGCAAACCAAAAATTTGCGATGTATACTTTTTACCACAGACTTCATTTACATATATATATCTCATACACACACTATATATTCACTGAGAGTAGGACAAAATTATCTGAGCCCGTGTTTGGCAGGTTACATGACAGTTTATCTTATTTAGTCGTATGTAATGTTTCCATTTTCTCTACTTGAGTCAAACATATGCCAGTGAGCGAACCTAAAATGAACTAAAGCAAGGGACCAACATGACCCACTGGGTTTTATTTACTAAAGCTGAAGAGTGCAAAATAAGGCTCCGTTCTGCATAGAAACCAATCAGCTTCCAGGTTTTATTGCCAAAGCCTAATTGAAAAAGCTGAGGTTAGAAACCAATTGGTTTCTATGCAGAAGTGAGCTCTACAGCTTTAGAAAATAAACCATGGCAAGGAATCTATAAAACTTAATGCTTTGTTGTCAATATTTTAAACATGTGCATCTACAGTTCTGCTATAAAACCAATTAAATTTATGCCACGTGGTCAACCTGTAATCTTTTCTGCATTTGTCTGCACAACTTGGTCTTGGTAAAACAAAATAGTCTGTAAATCGAGGTGCTTGGTGAAGTTAAAATTTACATGGGCTTTATTTTTATGAGCGATTCTGTTATTTGCAGACCTAATTACAGTGTGGGGTCACAAAAGTAAACAACTCAGGAAATTCTTTACTCACACAACTGCGGGGAAGTCTGGTAATGGAGCAGCTTCAAAAAGTAGCTGAAGGCCAACTTGAACTGTCTCTCTGTTGTCAGAAGTTAAGGCAAAAGAGAGCGGTGTAATCAATCGCTGGTCCTACATAAGAAAATAAAAAATACCTACAAGTTAATAGTCTACAGGCGCAGTAAAACACAAATAAATTAAACAAGGACACAGGAAAAACATAGGTAAATGTAAAGAGCAGATACTTTTTAACGTGGATAGCTAGTTAAAGCATAGCTTTTGTTTATCCAGATCTATGTACTGCCCTTATCCCAAATAAAGCTAAGCAAATGTCTGTTCGGAAACAAAAGATTAGACACAGCCTGCCCCAACCTTTTTATCCCACAGAAGCCAGTTAAATCATTTTCAGGTCTCGGGGCTCCCCAGATTAAATGTATTCATCAGAGTCAATGGGAAGAGTACTCCCCTTACAGTAGTGAATGCCAATCTTACAGACTGCTAAAGATATCACTGGTGCAATGTTACTGGGTCTGTATTCACCCCGTTTCAACAACAGACAATTCAACATAAAACATTCTAACATGCATTATGGCTAATGACATTTGTTGTCTCTGGTTAGCTGACACAACTGTTTGTTTTACATACATGGCAAACTGTGCCACAGGAGCATGTATGGCAACATAGCATACCTGCAGTATCTTATAGAAAGCAGCTTCCATATTGGTTACCATCTGTTTTAGCTTGCTCATAAGATTCAGAGTTTTCAAAATTACATTTGTTGAAACATTGCTTTGAGGGTAAAAAAAAAAAAAAAAAAAAAAAAAAAAAAAAAAAAGAGAGAAAGAAAGATTAAAGCAATTAGTCACTAGAGCATCACTACAGGCATCTTGATACAGCAGTAGTTGGAATCACATTCACACCTAATGCGAAAAATCTTTTTAAATTCTTTTTCTTGGAATATATTGAGGGACACAGGAGTTTAGAAAGAGTTGGGTCATATCATTGTCCAGAGGAGGTTGTGTTAGGAGGTTGGGACACTGGCAAACAGGAAAAAAATTATAAGCAATCCCTGAAAAACCTCTTCTCTACTCAGCATTAGTGTTAATTTTGTTGACAAATATTTTCGTTATAGTTTTTGGCAGCTGCATGTTTTCAAGTGATGAAAACTAAATGAAAATAACATTCAGCTTCCATTCAGATGACTAAACCATGACTAAAACTGCATTTTAGTCAAGCCAAAATGAACAGTGGTCAAAAAGCAATATTCTTGTTTGTTTATGAAACTTGGTTTTATTTATACAGATGTTACTTGACACTTGTTTTCATTAGTAACAGAGAATGGTTAGTTTTTATATCCAGGTAATATGTGCAATGGCATTACAGCCAACAGAGTTTAGTTTTTTTTTGTTTTTTTTTTAAATTTTAAACTTGCACTTCTGTTTGTCAAAAAGCAATATTTTTGTTTATGAGACTGAAGATTTTAGTTGACTAAAATGTACTGGAGATTTTAATTGAATAAACTATGGACTAAAACAATTCAGATGACTAAAATATGACAAACTAAAATGGCATTTTAGTCAAAAGACTATGACTAAAACTAAATTAACGTCAGAATTCACATTGCTTAGCATGCCTCAGTTTTGTGAAAAAGCAATACACAGGTCTGGTATAGAACACTGAAGAGTGGGAGCGGTGTACAAAAATCTAATTTTTGCTATCATCCATCGACACCTGAATTCAAGATACAGTTAGGACAACCTAAAGAAGTACAACAGAGGGGTTGGCAACATCTACTGAAAGACCCAACAATTTGGTAACTGTCTGTAACGTAAAAGTACCTGAAAGGCTAATGTCCAAATCTGAGCCAGATAAAGCACTAGCAAGACAGGGAAAGTGCAACAACCAAAGGGAGGCCACAAAGGACCAATCTGGTGCTCCAGACCAGGCCAGATATCACTGCCACAAGGAATGACACTACTTGAACACTGAGCCCGAACCAGCAAAAAAGTTTGAGAGAACCAACCAGCAATCCACCAAAAAACAGGTGGAACAACAAAAAACCCAGAAGAACGGAAACTAGACCAACAACGAGAGGTTTCAATGGAAATAAAAACAGGGACACGTCCTATAATAACAGGTCTCCTGAGGAAACCTTGAACATTCAAAACAGGTTCATAAGAAAAGACCAGGCCAGCCAACATAAGATTTCAAACCCTTAGGATTCAAAGAAAGGCGTTTCCATGATGAGAAAAGAGGTTGCCTGGTCAAACAAATAATCTTGGATATCAATGGGCCATTTGAAGCCCTCACAGCATATAATACTTCAACAGACATTTAAATGACACTTAAAAACGGTAGAAAATTCAAAGGCTACCAACATCAAAGTCAGACTGACTGAAGGAGGATGAGCAAGCGGCACCCATACAAGGGTAGACAGGGATGAGGGTATGCCGCAACCCAGGTTGGTGTACATGAACACTAGAACAGAAGGAGGAGCATGACCCATTGATCTAAACACCTGGGTGTCCCAGAGGTCTGGCAGAGGAAACTTTGCAACCCTGTCTAGCTTTGATTAAAATAAATAAATAACATGAACCCTAAGAATCATCTGACCTGTCCCAGTCCAGTGAAGCATCCTCAGCTGTGGGGCAGGAGTCTTAGCCACACTGCTAAGAAAATTCATCTGATTAAGGACAGAATAGGGAAGGAATCTGAAGGAACATCTCCAACAGGCTGTGAATAGGCCACAGAAGGAAGATCCAAACTACCCAGAGGACCTGTTCTGATCTACAAACAGCCCTACATGCATTCATATAAAAGGGATTACTGACCTCTGGCTTTAAACCCTACCAGCTGAGTGGGAGTCAGGCTTGGAATGCCTATGGCACTCGCTGCTAAAGCTGGATATACATGGTTAGTTTTTTTTTTTTTCCCCTCAGCGGATGGGCTGAATAAAAAAAAAAAAAAATCCTTCCCACTGTAACATAGTATTCTGACAGCAGGGACTCTCCACTATCAGAATACACTAGTCAGCGTCTGCATCCGCCAACTGTTTTAAGTTTACTTTTATGGCCGGATTGACTTATCTCGAACAAGGAGGGCCAAGCACAGACGAAATTTGGTTGGTCCCTGTTGAACTGTCTGAATATCGATCTGCCTGTCCCCACCTTTAAGTAGTTTAAGAAGGGTGGAATTCCCCCAACCCGGCCACCTATGGTGCTACAAATGTCAAATCAAGTCCTAGGAGATGACGCCCTGTGAACAGTAACCAAATCAGATGCTCCTTGGATGCATCAATAGCATCTTAAGAATGCAGCCAGGGTGCCCCTTGCATTTGTATAGATACCAGTGCCATACGACACATACGTTTAAATGCTTGTAACAAGCCATCACAACTGAAGTACAAAGCACCAGACAGCTGCTCAATGAAATGGGGGCATACCCCAGTGGTGAAGGGATCCTCTTGGAGGGATTCTACCCATTCTGACAGATTAAATTTACTGCCAAGACAGGGTGGAGAGCCACACCAGTTGATTCAAACTGGTATTTAAACGTGGTAATCTGTCATTCATTCAAGGTGAGCACTTGTTAAACCTGGTTGGTGGTGTGCCCGTTAAGGTGGTTGACTAGTGCCTCTGACTGGAACGGCCAACCAAATATAAATTCTCTCTCAAAAGGGAAAAATGTTCTAACACACCATCAGGTAGTACTCAAGAACCTTCAAGATATTTCCATATCTCAAAGAGAAGTGACCCAAACACTGGGTGTAGAGTGAAGGTCTTTGCAGCTGTAGAGGTTCTAAAAGACCCAAGGCCTGTATGGGGACATATACATGGACTATCTTACATATTTTCTATTGAACAGTGTCCCAACATCCTGCAGGCAGCAGTGTAACTTAAATGTATCTGAATTTCTAAATCCCTCAAACGGATAAAAAAAAAATAAAAGTTATTCTACCATTTCACATAAATACTATATGAATTTATTTTGTAGATGACTTTGACAAAAACTTGTAGAAATTATCTTGTAGAGAATATTGGACCACCGTCTTTACCTCCAAGGAAGCACCAATGTTAGGAGACATTTGTTGCTGTTACTTTTTTTTGTTTTATTGAAACAAAGAAAAACAAACTAGCTTGGTTATGGTAGAAACAAAGAAAAACACAGGGTTAAAACAACCAATAATTCTGCCAATGAGATGCGAAGGGTAAGACCAAGCTCATCCTTTACAGCAGAGGTCCCCGGGTCCTGGGACATGGACTGGTACGGTCCATGGCCTGTTAGGAACCAGGCCGTACAGCAGGAGGCTTGATCTGTATTAGAAGATTCATATGGGAACGGAGAGCTGCCGGAGCGCTGCAATAGGGGGCAGAGTGGTGCAGATTTTTGTTTACCCTTTTCTTTTTTTCCATCTTTAAAATTAAAAACTTATGCAGTGTCCTATTCTGCTATGACAATGCTTTTCTACATTTGAGCTTTTAGGTTTCCCAAACTTGTAATGGTCAGTAAAGCACTATAGCACAATTATCAGGTACACCATTGAAGCCCAAGCTTTCGTTGATGCCTTCCCTGTTGCACATGGTCAATCTCAATAAACGTTTTGGGTTCCCTTGGGATTACCGTATTTCCATATTGAGCAGTTTGTACTGTTGTCAGATGATGACTTGTGTATATTGGATTATATGGTGTAAGTTACTTATATTGCTCTGACATGTTGGAGACTGCTTCTCTTTTGTAAAAAAAAAAAAAAAAAAAATAATGCAGCATAGTTGTATTTTATCATAGACATAGGCTGCGTTACAGTGTGAATGTAACAAGAAGAAAACAATTGTGCTCACCATGTCCTTGGGGTGAGACGTTTTACAATGCAGTAAAACGTCTGTCACTGCACACTATGTGAATGAGCCCTACAGCAGCTCACATTACTACCTGAGCTCTGCCTCCTGCCAGATCACTGGCGGTGTTCGATCCTTATAGGACCATGAACCTTACTATAAATGGCATAGGCGAGGGATCTAGGTTGCGCACTCCTTATAAGAATCTAATGCCTGATGATCTGAGGCAGTGATGCTAGCACTGGGGAGCAGCTGCAAATAGATATCATTAGCATGGAGACTCCTCCCTATGCTCACTATACTATACTACAATATAAGAACAGTGACTATGTTTAAAGGATAAGTTCACCTTTTAGACAAAAATAATAAATACATTTTTCTTTGCAAGTGAAAAAAAATTTGCATTTATTATTTTTGTCTACAGGAGCCTGGAAAGCATTGCACCAGTGATCAGTAGATCACTGATGCCATGCAGGTATCCTGCAGACCTGTCAGAATATCTGGTTGCCGCACAGGATGTAAGGTCAAGCAGATATTCTTACAGTAAGCTTCAATGAATTGCCACGGCGCTCCACAGCGACGTGGTAGTTCATATTATAATGTACAGCGCTGAGCAAACTGTTGGCGCTATATAAATACTGTATAAGAATAATAATAATTGAAAACTGAAAGCATTCACGGAAGTGTGGGTGGAGCCCCACACATCCGTGCTGTTTTCAAATTTGACAGATAGCAGGGAGACGTTTCCTCATACTATCTGCCAGAGGCGGGGGGGGGGGGGTGGGGGGTGTTCAGTGGCTGTGGCTATGGGAACATGTTACACCCTAAAAATGGGTGGAACATGTAATGTAATTTATAATTTTTATAAACCTGTTGTAGGATCTAGAAATGCTAATTTAATTGTAACATTTCAAGATGTTAATTTTGAACTGGGATAACATACATTAAGCACAT